TCACAAAGCTGCCCGCTGTCGCCACTTGTCCTCCCCGTTGCCATACCAGTCAGCGTGCACGACGCAGAGGACGGGCTCGGACAGCAGTTGTCGGCGCGCGTGGGTCTGTGACTCTGCGCTGGAGGCACTTTAATTACTGCTTGGCCGGACAGCAGGATTTATGCCAGAGTGGCTCCGCGTCGTCCAACATGCCGCGGACCTGCTTGGAATGGATCTGCATCAGGGGGCACTGTCGTTGATACGCTTGGGCTGCCGCAGTAATGTCAAGCCGCCAGCGGGCGAGGACTTTGCGGCTACGGATACCTTTGGCGCACCTCGGAACCACCGTCTGCAGTGACGGCAGGGCGGGAGGCGAAGGCAACCGACGACTTGGTATTGCGTCTGCGGAGTTTCATCGGCTCATGAGGGCGTGGGGGCACACGAGCATCAGTGAGCAACGGAAGCTCGATCTTTTCAATGGTCTTGCACATTTTCGACGCGAGAAACCGCACCAGGACCCTACAGCAACTGTTCACAAATCTTTTGTTGAAGCACCAACTCACACCATACGGAAGAGCAGCTGGTGGTGACCCTGGTGACCCGCTGCGCGATTCCGTACCTGCTCCCGGTGCTTCCAAATTCATCACGGACAACTTCGTCAGGAAGCTCGGGCAGCCACGCACGGAGTGGGCGAAGTTTCTCTTGCCAAACGTGCAGCAGCTATCCTGTGACCTTCACAAGCGGGAAGCCCTGGTACAAATCGAACGTGCTTGGAGACTACGCGTGAGTGCGCTACCGTGTGCTTGCCGGCGTGCCCCCGGGCGTTCTGCCCTCTCTCTTTCTCTCCCTCTTTTTCTTCCTCTCTCACTGCGAAGTGGAGAGCGGAGGGGGGAGGAATAAGTGCAGGGGCGGAGAGACTTCACAAAGTAGGGGGTGCAGGATGAGGAAGGCCAGGGAGAGAACCGCGAGAGCGAAGGCTCGGCCGAGGAGCCAGGCAACGTGAAGGAGCAGGTGGGGCAAGAGGGAGATGGCGAGGAGGACGAGGGGCCCCCCACTGGCGCGCGGGGGGGTCTTACTCGATCGACGCTCAAGCGACCGACCCTCGCGAGCACGGGTCGAACGGAGTGCCTGGGGGGACGGGCGACATCCTGCTTGGGGCTCAAGAGGCGATGGTCGATGCAAACGGGGGTCAGCCAGAGCGCGGGACCTTGCAGGATCCTGCAGGGCCAGGGTCTCATTGACCCGGGCTTGGGTGCAGGATCTTGCAGGATTTTGCAGGGTCCTTCGCATTGACCCAGGCTTGGGTGCAGGATTTTGCAGTACCTTTCAGGATTCTGCAAGGCTTGACTGGCCCGGGTCTGGATTGCTAGGGGAAGATCCCCGACCTGCAAGTATGCGAGGCAGGCCCACAACATAGGGTTTTCAATTTTGCCCCAAAGTGATGCCAGTGGGCACGGGGTTACCAGCATTGGCACGGGCACCCGCGGGAGTTCCTGGACGGACCTTCCAACCAGGCCTGGTCGCACCCGCATGGTGTACAGGGGGTGCCAGGTGCTACAACCAACCTCTACTGGTCGACCACTGGTCGCGGGGTGGGGGGGAAAGCCAAATCTACAGGTGGGACAAGTACCTGCTTACCGCAATCTGCTTCGTACCTGTTCACCCCTCTGCTGCTTACAGCACAGCTGCTTCTAGTACCTGTTTACCCCTTGTCACCTTTGTTAAGAAAAAACCTACAACGCGCCGGGAGGCAAACAGGTGCAATCTATGCAAGTTCAAGTTTACCCCCGGCGGGTACTTCAAGGGAAAATTGTTTCGACAGGCATTGGCTTCACCTGTTTCCCCCAAAGACGCGCCCTACCTGTTTAGGTGATGCCCGCCCTTTGCCTTCAAGCATTGGGGAGGAGGAAGAGGAGGAGGAGGAGGGGGGGGGACGAGGAGGCGGAGCGGACGAGGGTGGGGAGGAGAACGCAGAAAACGAACATCGGATACGGAGGATGAGGACATAGGGCGGGAGAAGGACGAGGATGCCACCGATCTTCTTGTGGATAATGCGACGCGCGCTTGGTCGTGCATTCTGCGTTCCATTTGGACTTCTCTTGCTCGCGTCGCTGGCGCGTGCTCGTTGTTTCGTGGTCTGCCGCCCCCGCCCGCCCCCTCCCGTTTCCTTCGTTTCCCGCGGTTGTGTTTCCGCCTCCTCCTCCTCATCCTTCCCCTCCTCCCGTTGCCATCCCTGCTCTCTCCCAGTGCGG